TTTTGCCGTTTTGGTTAGGTTTCAAGTCAAGTTAAAATGACCGATTAGTCCCTAAAGACTTTATCTAGACTACCCCTGTGAGACTGTTTGTTGGGGTTGTATTTGAGCCGCTCATTACTTTTATTTAAGAAATTTTTTTTTTTTTGATAAGTCTTTATGACCCAAGCCACGAGCCACCCACACGTCCTAACTTTTTGTCTGGATGACATGTGTATTTTTAAAAAGAAAAAAAGAATATTTAGATTATATATTTAAAGAATCAAGTTTATTTTCAGAAAATGTTAATATAAGAAAAATATACTATAATTGTTAAAAAAAAATTATGAATAAAGTATAACATTAAGATACTTTATATTTAATATTAATTATTCATTTTTAATCCCTCTTGATTTCGTATCCAAATTTCATCATATTTTAAAAATTATATATAAGAAATCATGTATATATAATATTATATATATATATATATATATATATATATATATATATATATATATATATATATATATATATATATATATATATATATATATATATACACACTCAATGAGTGAAATTTGGTGTAAATTGGATATGGCTCCTGTATTAACTTTTATGCTGATTTGTAAATGAAAGCTTATGTATCTCTAATGCTTATTGATAAATGAAAGACAATATAGGGGCCATATTTGAAAATTTGGTTTAAAAGACAATATATATATATATATATATATATATATATATATATATATATATATATATATATATATATATATATATATATATATATATATATATATATATATATATACACTCAATGAGTGAAAATTTGGTTTAATTTGGATTATATAGATAAAAGAGATAAATTAGTTTTCTAATAGAGTAAAGGAAAATACTCATTTCAAAAAGTACATAGACATTGTCCGAGTGAATGAAACAAGAGATAGGGACAAAAGTAGTAGATTAGATCAAACCACATGGATGATTTATGAAAAATGCTCTAATATTAATTTCAAAACAAACACAAGTTCTATAAAAATATTTAATGTCTACTTTCTCATCTTCAATTTGATTGGTTTTGTTCCGTACTTTTACATATATCCAAACCATTTAATATGATGTTTTGTACATGACAGCTACCACCTTCACTCTACAAATTTGAAATGGCAAAGTACCTCCCTCCTGAACTCATCATCAACATCCTTTCAATGCTACCATCAAAATCACTTCTTCGTTTTCGATTAGTGTGCAAATCATGGCATTCTCTCATCACTTCCCCCGAATTCAGCCAAACTCATCTTCACAATTTCAACAAATTAAACTCTCGCAATCTTGTTCGATGTTGTCTATGGACAGAAAAGAAGGAAGTATACACTATCCATCACAATGACCAACAGCTCACTCTCGATGCCCCCATTGATTTCCCCTTCAATCTTCTCCGTGATGAATATGGAACCATATTTTTTACACTAATCGCATGTTGCAAAGGTGTTGTTTGCATCTACAATGAAAGATCACCAAAAAATGAAATCCTACTATGGAATCCATCCATTAGGAAGAAAATTACCCTAACTCCTCCTTCATACATGCCAGAACTTACTCTCGTTTTCGGGTTTGGGTATTGTGAGAATTCTGATGATTATAAGGTAGTTAGACTCGCATATGATCGTAGTAACTTGATCGATAGACCTGAGGTATGTTTTTATTCAACATATATAATATTATATGTATTAATTGATTGGAAGTGATTCGTATACAAAAGTTTTTCTCCATACACAACAATTTATGCTTAGTTGTACAATACAACATTTGAAAACATAAATTGTTGTGTACGAATCACTTCCTTAATCGATAGCATTGTTAGTGATTAGGGTTTAGGACCAAGCCCTTTAAGGTTTAGATTAGGTCTCTTATGTATCCTTAAGGGCATAGGCCTAAACCCTAATCATTAACAAACATATCTTAAACTGATTATATTGCCACTTTTTTTGATGTGATTTCAGGTTGAGATTTACACTGTGAAAACCGCGATTTGGAAACCGATCGTGTTCCCTCAAGATTTTCCTTGCTACCATATCCTTAGCGACTGCTCACAAGTGTTTTTCAATGGATATGTTCATTGGTTAGCAGCCGATTTGGGAGTTTCACATTGCTCAATACTAACAATGGACATGAGTAAAAACGTTTTTGGAGAAATCCAATTGCCTGAGTATTTGGTGCATTATTCTTCAATGGGAGTAACACTAACGGTTGTTGGAGATTCTTTGGGGGTGATTTATTCAAACCGTTGTACAGTTGTGGGTTCAAGCACTTACAAGATATGGATTATGAACGAGTACAAGAAACCGACTTCATGGACATTGATATATGATGTGCATTATCCGGATACGGATTTAGGGAGACCTTTGAGATTGAGACATAATGGGGATTTGATAACTGAATCACGTAGATGCAATTTAACAATCTATAATCGTGAGGCAGGGTGTTATACTGTTGATGGGTGTTGTAGCAAAGGTGTTGTATTATGGTCGTTTTCTATTGATAGATATGAAGAGAGCTTAGCATTGTTGGATGTTGAAAGTGATGGTAACAATGAAGAGTGATTGGTAAGGTTTGAAGTGATTGTATATTTTGTGTGTGTGTGTGTTTGCATATATGGTTATTATTATATTTTAATGATTGTGGAATGTAAGTAGGTAACGTGGTTTGTTTGTGTAAAAAATTGAAGTCATTTGGGTAGTGTTTGAATGTGGCTTGGCTTTGTACATTACATCTTTTTATGTATTATATTTGTGTATATATCATAAACAAATGGGATATTTTCTTTGTTGATGAGTTGATTGCATAATAGATGTTTTGATCGATACTGTTCTAAAGAGGAAACATGTGAGGAAGGTACATTATTAAAGCCTCACAAACGATTAATTTATTTTTAGGATGAGGGTAATTAACATTTATCTGATTAGTATATTGTGTGGAATCAGAAAATTTGAGTTGGAAAAGTAATAGGTAAATTGGCTTTTCTATAACGTATCTCAAAAACACTAACCAAAAAGGAAAAATAAATAAATAAATAAAAATATAAAAAAAAAAAATACTTTATGGCATAACTCACGACCCAAGCTGGTTAGTTGCCAAAAATATGGCCAAAATTTACATCAACTTAATGCAGGTTATACATGAAAAAGTTAAATAAAATATTTGATTTTAGTATTGATTTTTAACTGTTATTAAAGTTAGTCGGTATAGATAGATCTCATTTTATTTTAATGGTTTCCAAAAGTTACATCAATTTATTATTAATTTTAACTATGTTCAAATATTTTACATATTAATTTAAATTAATGATTATACGGTTATGGATTAAAAAATCCAACTATCTTTGAAAATAACCTATTGCAAATCCATGATTAGTTTTGTGATTTTTAATGTTTCAGTGTTGTTTTACATTGTCAACTTATAACAAAAGAATAAGGTCTTGTTTGTTTTCTTTCTAAAAAAACCCCTTCTAACCATTTATTGTTGTCTCACGCAGCACACACGCAGTACTTGACCCTTCATGATGTTTGTTTTTCAGAAGATTTCGAACTTAAAAACTGTTGCATGTGTGCTGCGTGACATAGCACTTGACCATCTGCTTCAAACATCTTCACGCCTTACTTTAACTTATTTTTGTTGGTGATCAAGCAATGGAATAGTAAACAACAAGGAATTAACAGGGGTAAAACTGGAAATAGGCAGTCGAATGATTACTTCTTTATTGAATGAAGAATAGCAACCTAATGAGTGAGTTGCTGTACAAGGAAAATTCGACTGATGATTTGTAACATCTAAACTATGCTATTTAAACTACTTAAATTAACAGAAAAGAGAAATGATAGGAACAATCCATTTTTCCAACAGTTATGACTATCATGTGCTTTATTTTCTTCTTAATTACCAGGTCAACCTTTGACCAACATTTCTCCCCCTCAAGGTTGACCTTTCTTCTTCAGGTCTTCTATGCCAATTAGTGCCCTCATCTCAACAAACTTTATCCTTGGCATTGCTTTTGTTATAACATCAGCCTTCTGTTGATCTCTACTCACATGCTCCACTTGAATCCGTTCCTGTAACGCCCATAGATCTGGGCTAGTCAAATTAGAGACGATAAGCATCAAAAATGACTTTTTGATGGAAGATTATTTAGAAGGATTAATCTTAACCAAGTTTTAGTATATGTCACAAGGTTTCTGTGCATATAAAGAACGCCAAAATCCGAGTTATAATGAAGAAGTTATGACCTGTCGAAGTTTCGCGACAAACCCGGCATGACCCAGCGCGACCCAGTGCGACGTAAATAGTAAATTTAAGGTAGATAGATATCTATCCTTAGTGATCTAAACGAGATTCGAAGATGTCATCGATAGTAGTCCAACAATAAAAAGACAGACGAAAACGGAGTTCAGATGAAGGAGCTATGAATTTCGTACGGAGTTTCCTGTCCCGGCCTACTAAAGATAATATATAAGTAATATACTTATAATATATTAAAAATAAAGTCAAAATTAGTCAATGGAGTCTAAACTAGATTTGTAGATCATAATCTCACCTTTGCGTCGATATAAAGAACGTCGAAAACGGAGTTCGTATGCGAAAGTTATGAATTTCTGAAGTTTGGGGTGCGAACCCCAAAGTTGTGTCAGAGACCACGATGTGGCAAGCAGTGCCATGACGTGGCAAATCTTCTGACACCTTCGGGAGTCCCCCAAATGCAACTTGAGATGATGCATGCAGTGACGACCAAGCCCACGACGTGGCAAAAGGTTCCACGACGTGGAAAGGGCCAGTTTTGCCCTATAAATAGATTTGAAGGGCTAGCTGAGTTTGGTTGCTCATTCTCTCATCTCTCACGCATATTACCTCGATTTACATGCAAAGAAGTACCCCCGAAGCTCCGGTATCATTCCGAGACCCGAAGCGAGTCCCGAAGCCCGAATATCCTGAGAAAAAAAGAGTTTCCGAGCCGAAGCTCTGCCCGCGAGAAACCCAGTGTGTGAAGTGATCCCGGTTTCACCGAAGAATGCTACTTCTACAAGCCGTAGTGCTGTCCGATCAACTTCTGATCAAGTGAGTGTATAGTTACTTTCATCTTACACATAGATATGAAACATTTTATAAAATACGTGCTATGTATATATATATATATATATATATATATATATATATATATATATATATATATATATCGTTGTTTATATGGGTGAGTGTGTGGTCACTTTCTTCTAACACATAAATATTAAGTATTTGTTATGAAATACATGCTATGTGTATAATATAAAGTTGTTTATATTTGTGAGTGTATAGTCCCTTTCATAAACACGATATTAATATAAGTATTGTTTGAATGTATTAAGTATATGTTTTGGGTAAGTGTGTAGTCACTCTCTTCAAACACATAAATATTAAGTATTTGCTATGAAATACGTGCTATGTGTTTATACATTGTTTGCTTATTTGAGATGAGTGTGGAATGGATGTTTTATATAGTTTTTTAAATGAGTTAAATTGTATATGTATTTTATATCTACAAATATGTTGGGTAGAACTTGGGTAGATGAGATAGTTGGTATGTGATAAAATGATGAGGTATGAAAGATGATTAAGAATGATATTAGCAGATGCGCTTAAGAATAATATCGGTAGATGCACCAAGTAGTGAATGTCGTAATCTTGGTAGATGCGTTTATAGGATAATGTCGGCAGATTCGCCAAATAGAGATGTCATAATACTAGTAGATGCGCTTAAGAATAATACTGGTAGATGCACCAAATAGAGAATGTGTCACACCCCAAAACCAAGAACGGCGGAAACGTTCTGGGGCGGAGGACGTCATGTAAAGTATCACAACACAGTAAATGTAAATAAGAAAACAACATCATCCATTGCATTAAATATATAATTTTAATACAAGCGTGTTCTGTACAGTATAGGCACCAAAAATAATGTATATCAAAATAATAAGATGAGTCTTGGATGCGCTCCATCTTCTCAAAAGCTGGCATCGGTACCTGTCTACTGATGACCTGGGAATACAAGTTATTTTGAAAGAGTTTATCAACATTAAGCTGGTGAGTTCCTAAGTATTTTAGTGTCGGTATTTGTCATCCAAAAAGGTTTGAACATGTAATAAGTATAAGTTTGTAAACTGTATGTAAAGGTTTGTAATTGTTTGTAAAAGTTTGAATCTCTTAGAAAAACCTATATTTTCTATTAAAGTAGCCTTCTACCAAGGCTTAACTGTTTTGTATGCTCGTTTGATGTAAAAGTGTGTAATTTACCAAGTGTAACTATCATTTAACAAAATATAGTTTGTACATTAACGTTTAAGTGAGGTTATCACTAAAATATGTAATGGGTAAATCAATGTAGTACTGTAGTTTTGTATTATAAGAACTACTGCTGTACTAACTACCTTAAACCGGATTTATATTAAGGTATAATGTGATAAATTGCACCATGCTATCGACTGGTAACAACGACACAATGAATGGTCGTAATAACGGAATGACGATTGGCACCCGTAGACCTACAGGTCCGGCTGTAGCTAGCAGCAAGGTGTAATCCAGTATAGATTTATACGCAAACTCACGCTCTCCCTCCAAGAGAATTCTGGCTACAACTCGGTCCATGACATTTAAGGCATGCTCCGACACAGTGGATCACAATTGTTAACGCGTTCATGTATATGTAATGTTTCTCGTTCTAGTATAGTGGTATATGTACTGTTTCTAGTATAGTTGTATATGTATTGTTTCTAGTATAGTTGTATATGTACTGCTTCTAGTATAGTTGTATATGTACTGTTTCTAGTATAGTTGTATATGTGCTGTTTATAGTATAGTTGTATATGTACTGTTTCTAGTATAGTTGTATATGTACTGTTTCTAGTATAGTTGTATATGTTCTGTGTTACCCCGATGGTAACTAGCTATTGATGTACTGATAAGTATGAATATGGAAGTACTTTTATGTCTATACATGTATATATGATATATAACTAATATTGAAACGACCCTCGGATGGTCACCCGAAATCCCACTAGACCACATCTCAGTGCGCGAAAAGGAAATAGGGCGGATGGCCTTCCTAAGCCCTTTAAACATTTCTTATATATCTATACATATATGGGCATGCAATTTATAAGAAGTAAAACAATGTTTAATAAAAGCATTTGATAAGTAAAAGAGTTTGTAAAACATTTTGAAGTAAAACAATTTGATAAACAGTTCGAACAGTGATAAAATCATTGGTTTTCTAGTTATTAATCACATGTGATTAATGCAATCATATGTGATTGATGCAATAACTATAAGTATTTAACTTGTGCCCCCACCCCCCCCCCCCCCCGTAAAGTATTTAAAACATTTAAAAGTATTTCAAAGGTTGATTAAAGGGGTATGAAACTCACTTGTGGTGAGTAGATTGGATTGATGTATCGGGTACCGTGCTAGGTGGCAAACGGAGACTTGTTCACACGTTCGAGCCTAGTTATCATATAATGAGCATATATATAACTAATTAGCCAAATAATAACTTAACAAAGTAAGTTGAGACACTTAG